CTGGCAATCATAGGCTTAAATACATTCAGTTCAAAATGGCCATTTGATCCACCAACTGTAACTGCCATGTGATTTCCCATAACCTGGAAGGCATTACGATGTTCAGGAAATCAGCATCGACATTTAACACTAATGGCTTGTTTCGTAGATCCAGTTACCAAACATGGCAGAAGCCAGCAATATTAGACCAGAAACAACCCTTTAACATCTACTAATGACTAAAGTTGTTATTCTAATTCAAAAATACCTGAGCGCAGACCATTGTAAGAGCCTCGCACTGGGTCGGATTGACTTTACCCTGAAAATTAACATTGTTAGGCAAACAGGCAGTTAATTCTAATTATAAGATGCTCAAATGTTTACATTATGCATAAATGTAATGGGTAACAACATTACCGGCATGATACTGCTACCAGGTTCATTTTCAGGAAGGATGAGTTCCCCTAGACCACAACGTGGGCCACTGGATGAGAAAGAGGATGTGAGAACGTCCAGAATAAATCAAAGCACTAAAAGATAGCAAGGAAATGTCTACATCTCATGTACCTGCCTAAGAAACGGATATCGTTTGCTATTTTCATGAGAGAAGCAGCAATTGTATTTAAGGAACCACTGGTTTCAACAAATGCATCATGTGCAGCCTATCAGAAATGCACAATGTTGTCAAAGTTTCAGAATAATTTGCTCAAAGAGATGATCAATACATCTTGAAGAGCCCAGAAGTAAATTTTCAGTAAGAAATATTGCAGTCAATAGAATTAATCACAGAATCAAGAGCAACAAACATCTTTGCTTTTAGAGATTTGTCATGTGGGCAAACCGAATCAAAATGGAGATTACCAGTGCTTCAAATTTGTTTTCAGCGGTCACAAATGGTAAATTAGTTTCCTCTGCTACTGCTGCAGCAATTTTTTTATCAAACCTGAACAACTGTCAATGGTTGACATAAGAAACTACGAGCAATTTACACTGTAATATTAATATTATAACCAAGAGGAAATAGCAAACTACCTTTTGCAAACAATCCAAATATAAGTGTCAAACCTGGAACAAGCATAAACAAACTACTGGATTCCTTACCCTTTCTTTGTGTTCAATCCAGTCCCTACAGCAGTGCCCCCCTGTGCAAGCTGCAGATATATTCCAACCTCTTAGCACTGCAGGGAGATAGGAAAAGAAAGAAAGGTAGAAGGATCCAAAGGTAAGGAGTGAACCTGATACATACGAGGAAGGGTGCACAAGACCCGATCAATTCCATACTTTACCTGCAATTATAGCGAATATCTTTATGTATTCATAGGGCAAAATTATTAGCAACCTTCACAATTCAATAAAAACAACTCCATCAAGCTATAATGATCAATCTTTTAAAGGTATTGGCTAAAGAACTTACTTGGGTGGTATAGCCACTGAATTCTTGTCCAAGTGTCAAAGGTGTTGCATCTTGTGTTGTGTGTGCGTAGGACCAATTTTAACAATGTCTTTGAATTCAACAGACTGGAGCATATCACATAACAGACTTGAGTCATAAATGTACTGGTAATTAACATGGCAAACTATTATAAAGTGTCAAATGACGAGAAAAGTATGTAAGTACGTCAAGACAAAAGCCAACAATAAAGACATTTTGTTGTAAAAACATGATTTACATGACCAGCTGAAAGCTAAAGGAGTATAGTCCCAAAGCAAACATTATTATGATCACATATCTATTCAAAGAACAAAAGAATAACAGAAGTATTACTATGATGATTAATGATGGCACACAAGAAAGCATCCTACATCAGGCACAACCAAGAATGTAGCAGATGACAACAGAAAAGCATATCATCAGAACCTAAATAACTTGATAGTTGTTATTGCTTTAATAATAAAGACTTCATTTTACTACTAAGTCGTTGCCTACCCCTGTACGGTATATATAATCAGATGCTATTTCAACCAATTAGTTTGAACGTTGAAGCTTTCCCTTTCAAAATGCAGGATCTAAGAAAACCATAAATGCTAATTCATACGCCCAATCATCCTAGATCATGGAATTAGGATCCCTCATATAGCTCTGAAAACAGAATGAAATTATAATTTTGAAAGCAAAAGGCCTGAATCCTAGAGCTTTTACGAACTAAGAATCCAATGTTGCAAATCCAATGGTGCCTCACTTATTACCAGCAAATGCAACAGATGCTCAATTCTAGTGTCTTGCAACGCCTTGCATCTTAAAATAGCTTTTCACAACTAAATTCAATTCTCTGTTCATTATGTTTTTATAGCCAAATCGAAGTTATCAATCAAATATTTCCCTTTCCAGAAGATCAACGCCATTTCAAAAATCGGAAGTAATTGCAATCATGGGAGAAGAATCTGTGACAAGCTTAAAAATACAAATATTTTAAGTTTAATGCAATCACTTAACTGCCATTTTTTATGGGGGTTGGGTTGGTTTAAGGTCCTGGTAAATTTGTTCATAAGAAATGTAACTCTATTAACTAATCCAATAAAATGTTTTAACATCACATTGGAAACCAGAGAACAATCATAATAAATCAGCTAAGCAAATGATAAAAGAAATGGAACCTAGTAAGAGGAAAGTCAAAGCTATACCACGACCCAAAACATTCTACAATGATGCATAAATTGCCTGATAACTTAAAAAGAGGCTTGCAGTAAAGAAAGGAAGAGAATACAAGAAGCAGACACATTAATTATCTCGTAGAGAAATAAAGATGATAAACAGCTTATGCAAACCTTTGAATGTAGGGTGGTATGTAACTATTTCAATTTTGGTACTACTCTTGAATTTATTTCCATGGCGGCTGCAATATGCATTACCTATACACAGGACAAGGGAAAATCAGTAACCAGAAATGATTTAAATAATAAGCTTGAAATCAGATCAAATGGTCATTTGCTGGAACTTGACAATAGTATCCCACAAGAAGCTTACAGTGGGAAATGTATCATTAGAAGATTGTGATCTGTTCACGTGGTCATTTGGATGCACAAACTTTTCACCAGGCTTGTGATGACCTATTTGCAATAACCTGGAAAATGAAGCGCACACAACATTATAACTAACAGAAAAGCATCGGTATATCATCATTAATTGAAAAGAGATACCAGCTATAATTTGTCCAAGGAACATATAAAAAGGAGATATCCTAAACCGGGGGAGAAAAGCAAAATCAATTCACTGTACTTATAAAAATGCACAAGACATTGAGCAGTTGATCGTACATAGTTGCAAATAAATTGATGAGAAAGCAGAAACAATTGTCAAGGACATGAAAAGATTTCCAGAAAGCCTCCAGTGGTTGGTTTCTACAGTCAGAGGTCTTAAAACTGAGATCCCTCCTCCTTTCTCCAATCTATTAGAGCCAAGTTTGCCATTCCCCCCATCTCAAACAAAAACTTAACGTTACCAAGAAAGAAACATGACCCGGTATAGTGTATAGATATACCAGAAACCACATTTTTTGTTTTTTGTACATATTTTCCCTCAATTAGCAAACCAGCATGCCAAAAGTCACAAAATGCAGATCACTTTGCAAACTTATTAAAAGACACACAACAAAGAACTATATTATTAATTCCAAGCAACTGGAACAGTGAGCAACTGCAATCATATAAAAAAAACCAACTTTATTGACTAGAAATTTCATAAACTTGTGAATACCTCATTAGCATTCATGTTACTTTGAGTACCACTACCGGTTTGCCAGACCACCAGTGGGAAATGATCATTTAGTTTTCCCTCAGCAACTTCTTGAGCAGCTTGCATAATTGCTTTTCCTATGGATGGATCAAGGCTGTATTCCATGTTCACCTGCAAAGTATGCAATTTCCACAAGATGGCAATTAAGTTAAAGAAATATGACTCCTGTATTGTGCAAAGTGTTCAGAACAGAAATTTGAAGAGAAATAATTAAATGACACTTTTCCTGACAGAAGGTTAAGCTGGTGGAAGAAACCATCTCTCATATAAAACCTAAAATCTTTTCCTTTTCTCTTTGTTCTATGTATGTACTACTACATGCATTGCATTATTATCAGAAAGCAGTAATGTGAGTATGGAAGATTGCATAGATATGATCAGACAAAGAATATAAAACAAAATGAAGAGAAAATTGGTCCAATCTACGTTGTTGGCAAAAACTGAGTTAATTAGTAGTAGTCTACCTTCGCAGCACACCTTTTAAGAATCCCAAATGCACATATAATTGGTTCGGGCATTCTTTCACGCTGACCTCCAATATCAAAGTTCTGCAAGGACCTTTGAGTTTCAGCTCCCCATAATCTGAAGGTTCCCAATTACAACAAAGGGTCATGTTCATGAGCAGAGCCTTTAAGAATAGTATCAGAAAAAAATATATATATATTTGATATGACGAGACTCTGCTTGTTTCCAATAATTAATACTGTGAAAATAGCACAACAATACTAATCAGATAGACAGTTAAAAATACATTGGAAATGTTAAATTGCAATGTTCCACACACGCTCACACACAAAGAAAATATATATTAAAAAAAAAAAAAAGGACACTGTGCCATAATCAGAGAAATGGTGAGAAAAGGCATTCAAAATTCAAGGGCAGTTAAACAATAAAAGATTTTATCAAATGCTGATGTACCATGTTCAGTCGATTGTCATCGACCTTCCTCATGCTCTTCTACCTGTTGGTTCATATTTAGCAGATTTTTCTTCAATTATTATCCATTACAATTTACACAGAATATTAGGAATCAGATTATCAGTTGTCCTACAAAACTTCGTAATAAATTAACTTCCATTCCCAAATTTGGCAAAAAAAAAAAATTCGAACTGAAAACAAGAAGAAAGCTATAGCAAAATTAGTGATTATAAGAAGTAGAGAGAGAAAGAGCGAGTCCAGACCTGTCGGAGGGAACGTGAATTGGACCAAAAGTGTCTCTTTCCTCCCTGAACGACGATGAATACCGTCTGAAGCCTGCTGCAGTAGAGCGGAGTGACTACGCCAGAAACGACTTCGTCCTCGATCCACTGGATACTGCGTAGCTATAAACACCGCCATTAACGGAATCAATGGAGGTCTCCGGCGAATCAGAAAATTAAAATCAAAGAATGTTTATGATCTGTGAGTTTGATTTTTATAATCTGAGTGCGCAGCTTGTCTTTACTTCAGCAAACTAAATTTGCGTCTATAAATTTTGAAGTGGAACGAGCTCCTTGTATGTAAGACTTAATTTT